TGTACCTCATGGCGGCGTGAGGGTTGTGGAAGGAGCCCCCCGGGCAGGCCCAGGCTCCGCGGGCAGCAACGTCCTGAACCGCCCCTCTTCAGAAGTAGTTATCAAAGAAGTGGCTCCATGTTTAAGATTTGGAGGAGCTTTGGGGTGTTTTTCTGCCTAGGCTGGAGCCATGCAGATGCTGAGTTGCTTGGCACCTGCGAGGGCATATGCCTTCAGTCCTTCATGTTCCCTTGGAGAGGAGCTGAAATCTCTTAATTTGGCAGAGAATTCCCCGCAGAAGGGGGCTGGGAGTCAGTGCAGAGACACAGCCTCACGCGGGCAGCGGCATCTTCTCTGGGAGATGCTGACCAGGCCAACGATGGCCGCAACTATTTAGAAGGAAGCAATGGTTGAGCTTGAGCCTTAGGTTGGAGACTTGGCTTTCCCAGTCCTGTGAGGCAAGTGCATCAGCCATGATGCACCTTTATCCTTGAAAGCTGCATGTATCTGATTGATAGGATAGTAAGGTTCCCCCACCCCAAAATGTTTAGTTGCAGAGAAGACAAAAAGAAGAAAAGAGGAATTTTACAACAAAACAAGTTACAAAATAAAGAGCTAGAGGAAGCGTCACTGAGAAGCTTTGACAAAACTTAAGCCCTGACCTTCTTCTTTAACCTCTGCTAATCATGATGGACAGGTATTTACAGGAGGATTAACACCTTTCATCATGGATCGGAGGGGAGACTAACAAGAGGTAGCAGTAAAGGCTGTTGGAGTGAAGATACCTTCAGCTTTTTTGTTCAGGTTTTCAGTTTTAGCTGCCTCTGCTGCTACCAGCCTGATTGTTTCTTGCAGCAAGCGCAGTGCAGGAGCATGCGGTGGCTAAAGCAGCTGGCAGCTTGTCAAGGGTAGTGTTCTGCTCTCCCAGCGAGAAGCAATGGCATCAGTGACCCCGAATCTATGAAAATAGTTGTATGAAAATAATTGTAGGGTTGGTTATGCTCAAAAGTATAGGACTTTGCAGCAGGTGGCAGTTTCAAAAAGTTTTCTAATTCTTGTTGTTCTAATTAACAAAATCATAGGCTATGCCAAACAGTTTGGCGTACCCTTCACTCAAGATGGCACGTGAAGTCAAATTATAATTCTGAATGTTTATGCTATTAAGTAACAGGGTGTTCTGGGAAAAAAAAAAAAGAAAAACCCCAAGATTTAGAATGAAGGAAACATTTAAGATTCTATAAATGGTGGCAAAGCCCAAGTCATCGCTTCTGTGAACAGTCTGAGTAAAAACGCAACACAAGGAACAGTGGTATCAGTGGTAAGAAGGATTTAGACATTGTGATGTAGAAATGCATTTTATGAACAAATAGAAAGGGAGATGTAAGGCAGGCTCTGAAAATTACTGCACTTCCAGTTTAGCAATCTAGCTGTATTCAGTAAAGCTTTTAAATACATATTTAATTTAAGATATATTCTTAAGCCCCCTTTGTGGAGGAACTAAGTTATTTGCTTAGAGCAAAGCCTGAGGAGAAATGCTTGTGTCGACTGACTTACTAAGCCAAGTGTAGGAGAAAAGCAAGAAGAACAGTGATAGATCAGAGAAAACAGACTTGTTGCTTGACAAGGAACAGGGCTTTCGACCTTTTTGAAAGTAGAGGCACTGCAGAAGTTAAAAGGTATAGATAAAAAAGGTAGCTCTGCTGATAGTAGGTCTTAGATGATATAGCTAGATTATACTGTTTTAATAGTTATCTGCACATGTAGGTGCCTAAGCAGCATGTGTGTGTGAGACAGACAGAAAGTTTAATAGGGATCCCCAAAAAAACACGAAAAAGAAAAGAGGAAACTTTTTCTCATAAATGCTGCCAACAGCAGCTTCTTACTATTCCTGTCACTTACGTGGACAACATCTAAATCAATAACTTAATATATATGAAATGTATGTCTTATTGGCCAAGATTATATTAGCTCTAAGTGCATCTGGGGGGCAGTGCAGGCAGCAGCAGGTGGATAACAGACTAACTAGAGTACCAGCCCTACGGGTTTTAGGTTAATGGGTCAGGAGGAACAACCGCCAGTATCTGCCCATATTTACATATTCTGCAACACGTGTGCACAGCTGTTTAGGTGCAAATTGGAAATGAGACATCACCTTTGAGTTTTGGAAGCATGTGCCTCCGGGCAAATACCCGTGAAGGGTGTTTGTGTTTGTATCCAAGCCCTAATCCCAAAGGTAAATACGGGGGTGGGCTAGAACAAAGACAGTGCCTGTGGCGGGCTCCTTGGGGTAAGAAGTTAGCCTGTTTGTGGGTACACAGCAGCGGAGATTCAGAGCTGGGAGGTGGATGTTGCCCTGAACAATTAATTCCCAATTCTGACACTTATTGCTTCTTACAGACATTATGCGATTAAAGGTAAACAATTAGAAAGAAACCAGATTAGGTTTAAGTTAAAATTACCTGCTGTATCTGATTTATTAGAACCCTTTTTTTGCAAACTCTGTGGTTAAAAGCGTGAGTGGAAGTCTTGCTTAAATGAATCCTCTTTGCTGCATCACTAAGTCTGTCTGGTATTGTAGGCAAAGTAAATTTGAGAAAGCCCTTTCAACCTAAGTTGCTGTATTTGTTATCTCTGCAAAGATGGAACATGGATAATAACTACAAATAAAGCAGTGAGAAGAACTTGGGAGCTGGGAGAGATTTTTGTCCTGCAAATCTTCAAAGGGTCATTGTAGTAATGCCAAATGCTAAACATTTGGAAAGAGCTCCCTTTAGCAGATAACCTCCCTGCTGTAAGCAGCAGATGGCTGAGAGATACCCCACAGCTCTGGGCAAATCGAAAAGCGTCAGAGAGGGATGAGTTCTCTTGCAATTGGGTTTTCTGGTCTTTCTGTTTGTAAAAATAATTTCTTTTTTAAATGATGCAAGAAGGTATATGTCCAAGAAGGACAAGTAAACTTGTCCTTTCTGAAAGAAATAAGTGAGTAACATTCTTTTTTTTTTCTCTAATCTAATCAATTCTGTTCTTAAAGTCAAATTCCAACCTTCCTTTCAAATTGTGGGTTGTG